TACAGACAAAGACCAAGTCGAGGAGTGGAGTGTGGAGGCCCAGGTATGCTCAATTACTGAATCATCAGTCCTCGGTGCCTTGAAACCTACTTTCCAATGCCGTGAGTTTGATTCTAATGTGCCTGTCATGTGTCTGTGCTGAATAGATGGTGAATTCACTCCAGCATCAGCCCCCTGCTCAGCTGGCTCCAGAACAAACCATTACTGTGAACCAAGTTTCTCCCACTCCTGATACTGATCCCGTGGTTAGAAAGCAGGCAGTGCAAGACCTCATGGCCCAGATGCAAGGGACATACAACTTCATGCAGGTTAGATGGCCCAAAATGCTGTATATTGTAGTATCCTATGGCTCACAGTGTGTGGTGTGTGTCTCAAATAAGCAATGGCAAGTAGGATGAACTTGCAAAAAGGTTGGCCAAAGGTGAGGACTGCATGTCCAGGCAATTTACAACAATCTATGAAGTCGTGCTAGAGGTCATGAGACAAGAACGTAATTTCTGATATATGAATGTGAACTTTAAAAAAAAAATAAAAAAAAGAGTAAAATATCGAAACAGGGAAAAAACCCATTCCCCATTTGGGACAAAAATTCAAAAGACGTACAATTTAAATGAGATCATGATTAGCCCAGGTTTTAGGAAGATGTGCTTACATGGGAGTTGGTACTAAGATCCTTTTAGTCAAGGTTGTTTGTAGTTGAGGTATTTTCCTAATGTGGAGTGAAGGATTATGGGTATGAAACAGACGTGCTCGCTTGCTTATTGGACTGATTGCAAATCTCATCTGTTTACATTTACTCTTGTTTGGTTGTCGTAGGACTCCATGTTGGAGTTTGATGGCCAGGCGCTGGATCCAGCCATTGTGTCTGCGCAGCCAATGAAGCCTGTGCAAGCTGTTGACCTGCAACAGATGGGCGGTCCTCTACGTGAGTGACATTTACTCACAGGTTCTACTGAATATGGATGCACTGATTTATTAGCAAACATTAGTATTGCTCATACTGGCCAATAGACTTTAAAAAAATAAATAAATAAATATAAAATTAATTTATTTTAAAAATAGGATTTCTTTGTTTCCTGGGCACAAATGATCTCTTTGCTGTTAGGCCAGAGGTTCATTTAGTAATTAGTGCATGCCTATTAAGTTGTTTGGTCGCTGCTTTCTGATGTGGCTATAATTGAAAGTGCATAATTTAACAGCATGTCTTTTTTTTAGGAGTTTGTCTTATTTATTTATTTTATGTCTTTCTGAATAGTCCACTCAGAGTCCAGACTTCCTCAGACAGCTGCAGTGTCTGGACCACAAGAATCCTCACAAGTAAGTAGGGAGGAGCCACTGCAGGATATGGGTGGTGAGACTGCTCTTCTGGCTAAGTGGTGCAGCTCATGAATAATTGGAGTTCAGATTGTTTTTGTATTATGAAGAGAGATTTCGAAAGGTCTTCTCCATGGATTGAATGTGATGCTCTCTGACACATCTTTTTTTTGTTGTCTACTGCGTGCGATGGGGAGATATTTGATTCATTTGAATATTATAATAACAGAAAAGGGAACTTTTTAAGCCAAAAGAAAATCATCTCGTCTCTTGCACTGACTTCTCCATATTCGTTGTTTCCTTGCCTTCCAAATTCCCTCCTCTTTTACTTGCCCAGGCCTCAATGTCTCTGTCATCTGCACCGTCTCCTGCCCCATGTTCTCTGTCCTCTGCCTTCCCTCCTGTCTCCAAACCCACCCTCACTGGAGGCATCAATGTCAACGCAGCACCTTTCCAGTCAGTGCAAGCGGTACGCTTTCTATTGGGTCCATTTAAACGGTGTCACAGTGAGCGTGTTTGGACTTGATGCATTCTGTAGGAAACCGTCAGCTTTCATACTTGCACAAGTCATAGGTCAGTATTAGAGATTGGTTGGCATGTTTTATTAGTCACAGTGAAAACTGGTCAGTTATTGGTGCAAGGAGCAACAATTTAAGACTTCCCAAACTACGCAGATCTTTGACCCCAGGCCATCGTCGGGTATTGTGGTTATTTTATTTTGTTATATTGATATGGACAGGAATGGGGGAGGAAAAAAATTTGTTTCTCTTTTCAGGTATTTAACATGAATGCACCTGTACCTCCAACTACCGATGGCCAAGCAGACCCCTTGAAGCAGCCTAGCCAGTTCCCTGGTGGCTATGGACAGGGCTTTAGCAGCCAGCCAGAAAATGTGGTCGACCAGCCTGACATCCCACAAGAAAGATTACAGACAGGTGTGCATCTTGTTTTGTACGGAAACCCTAGAGCATGAACACAGTGGTAAAAGTTGTATTAGGATATCAAGAGGCTCCCAAGCTTCACTTTGTCACAAAAGAAATATTTTCTGTTGCAACAAAGTTGAAATATGAGTCAGTGAGGATGCCATAAGTAAAAATCACGAGCCTTCTCAGAATTCAGAAGGTGATTTTGCATTTTAAAAGTAAAAAATCCTTCCATCCTCGTCTGCCCATCCTTATCAGGGAGCCTATCCCAGCCACCATAGGGTGAGAGGCAGGGTAGACCCTGGACAGGTCATCAGTCTGATACAGGACTAACACAGAGAGACAGACAACCACTGGCATTTGCATCCACACCTATGTGCAATTTAGAATTCCCAATTAACTAAACCCACTAATACCTTGTCTAAAATTAAAAATGTACTAGAACTTATCCAGCAGTACGTGACATATATTTTGATGTCGTTTTGTGTCTCTTCTGTCCAGTTGTTAATGCATTCCAGCCCCAGGACCAGATTATGTCCTCAACGCCAGGACATGAAGATCCCTCTGTAGGTGCAGGGTTTGGGCAGTCTGGTCAGTCCTTCTACAGCAGCAGAGCTGTGCCAAGAGGTGGACCCAGGAACGCTCGTGGCGTTATGAATGGATATCGGGGCTCCTCGAATGGATTTAGAGGTAAAAGCATCCAATGTTGTTTCACAGATTTACAATAATTATATTGTGATTTATTTTGATTAGGAGTAAATATGCATCACCTGTTGAACTAATGTCTTTCTGTCATCAGGTGGATATGAAGGCTACCGTCCACCGTTCTCAAACGCTCCCAGCAGTGGATACGGTCAAACTCCGTTCAACACATCTCGGGACTATTCCAGCAGTACCTATCAGCGGGTAAGAGTTAATGCATTAATTTAAGTCATTGCATTGAGTTTACATCAGTCTTTTTATAACCAAGCGTAACTATAAATATAAAACATGCGCTTATGAAGCCTTACTATCTCTTTAAGGAGGGATATCAGCAAGGCTACAAACGTGGAGCAGCCCAAGGACCTCGTGGTTTGTCCCGAGGTAATGCGCAGGCAATGCGATCCTAAAGGATCCCGGGGACCGTCGAATTACGCCACGTTGAACATTCAGGATTTTTTGAATGTGTTTGCCCCAGCTCACTTTTATAAACAATGTTTTGTTTCTCATCGGTAATCTTATTTTTTTAACTCCTGGCCTACTTATCAGTCAGCCTGCTTCGGTCTGTCTAGATCTTTTTGATGTTTTGTCACAAAAATGCTGAAATTAACTACATGTAGGATTATCAGCAAGTACGTGTGATGGAAAAACAACAAAAAGATATTCCTGTAAACTTGAAAGATTTCATTAATTTATTTTTTGTACAAAATAAATGCAAAAAATACCCCGTCACTGTCTATTTGATTCCATGAGTGCTGTAAGCCACTTGTTACTCCCTTTATAATTTTCATCAAAACGTTTAATTTTCTTGTTTGTTTGTTTTTTTTGTTTGTTTTTTTTAACTCCTGTGTCCCTGCCTGCATCGTCACCTCTTTGTACACTGTTATTGATTGAGACTGTTTCAATAAAGTTGTGCCCTATTACCTTCTGTTGCTGAAGCTGTTTGTTTTCTGACATTTTCATTCTGTGTGGTCTTGCATGTGAGTAGTTTAACTTAATACAATCCAATGTAGAATTCAGTCTACTTCAGAGCAGCCTTCAGCTATGACAATAACAGCTATAGAAACAGCCCATCCTTTTTATTACATTGCATCTGTTCATGGTTTTACTGGAGGGAAATGTCCCACAGGAAAGGCGTCGCTCAAACATTAGCAGTGAAATCTGTTTGACAACCTGAACCACTTTATTTTAACTGAGGTGTGCAATTTTGTCAAATGACCCATGGATCCAGCAGCAAGAAATCAAACACCAGCTTTACATTTTGTGCAAAATATAATGCATGGCACACGGGAAACGACTGACAAAGCAAATAAAGACGTTTTCTTAAATTTTGTGTAAGGTAAAACCAAAAAGCAGAGATCTCACCAACTGAAAATTTAGGTCTTCAGTGAGAAGCGGCAGCAACTCCCAAATATCTCATTATTCTCCCCGAATTGAAGAAGCAAATTTACATTAAACAAAAGCATACAGGTTAACACAGCATGTAACACCAAACCAGCATTTTGCCAAATATGCTAATATGTTGTCTTTCATGTAAAAGTCATAAATACCTCAAAATGAACACAAACAAAATTCAAGGTTTTCATTGCCTTACTTTGACAGACTGTTTCAGCAAAATACTAGATGGTTAGGTAAAAGTAAACCTTAAATAAACAATATCAAAACTGTTTCATCAGAATCACGTAGCAATACATGTGTATGGACCATGAGTTCATTATACTGTTTAACAAAAGCACTATTTAAGAGCTTTTACTGTTCAGTACAGTAAATTAACTGTACACAAAGAAAAAAATGTGTTACAGTAGGAAAATAGTAAACTGGTAGTTTGAGGGGAAGCAAACTGACCATTAAGAAGGGAGCATTTGAAAAAAAGACAGCGACCTGGCTTCATAAGGTGTTGAAGGTTAAAGGATTGTAAATGTCAGGTCACAGTGATAGCTGCAGATCTGACAGCACCTTGTAGATCATTACACAACAAAGCGACTGCTTGTATCAATTCCTTAGTTTTTTTAGTGCGATGTCTGGGGATGGTGTGAAAATGATGTAAGCTTGTTGCATTTGCTACCGTAGATTTTTTTTTTTTTTTTTTTTTTGCCAATTTAGTGTCATAATTAAATAAAACAAACATCTTGCAGTTAACTCTTGAAGTATGTTTTCATAAGGTCCATCATGATTCATGCATGTCTTTTATTTTGCAGGTTTTTTTGGAGTATATTGATAGTAATTTAAAAAAATCTAAATCTCAAAGGCTGTAATTGAAATGAATATTTTTACACCTTATCTTCTTAAACAGCTGCACTGTACATATCCAGAAGGCTCTTGGGTCAGGATGGTTAGCAAGCAGCAAGTCATTTTGAGAGGAAACAAACAACCGGTCTGAAAGCTCACAAAATATTATTTATATGATTCTATTAAAAAAACACCCTCAATGTAAGCAAACACAACTGTGGTAAAATCTATGTATGCACATATCAGGATCCAAACCCATGTAGGTCATTTCATTGATTTAATTATGTAATGAAGGGATTACTGTCACCAAGACTGAAATCTGGGGTAACGGATTCCCTTTGAGTGGTTGTTCTTCTCAAATGCACTTCAAACCACTAATGCTGGTCAGGGTGGTTAAAGAGGTCCTTATACTCTGATGGGACTGCTCCTCAGCACTTACGAGTGCAGGTGCTGAAAAAGTCTGATTGTAAAGTTTTGTGCACATTATTATGGCAGCTGATTCTGGCTTTGCACAACTTCTTGATGACCAGGTGGTATATTATCATGTGTTTGAGGGAGACCTTGCTGGGCCTGGTTTTGATTTTCTTGTCCATGGTGTTCCTGTGGTATATCCTGAGGAGCTTGGGGTGCAGAGTCATGACCTTGGGGTGCAGGGTGATGTCCTTCGGGTAAAGGGTGATGTTCTTGGAGTGCAGGGTCATGGCCTTCGGGTACAGGGTCATGTCCTTGGGGTGCAGGGTCATGTCCTTGTTGTTGGGCCTCATGCAGTTGGCTGTCAACTGCAGGGATTTCTGGGACGGCGTTCCCTTCAATTGTAACAAAGAGAACAATTTTATATTCTCAGAGGTTAGACCTTTAAAATCAAACCACTATCAAAATAAAAGTAGGAGAAAAACAAAATCAACACTCACCGAGAACCTCTGGAGGAGGGTCTACTTTCTGTGACTTGAGCCGTTCCATATGCTCAACTGCCTGTAGAGTTTTAGTACATTAGAATTCATTTACTACATGTGGACAGACAATTTGATTGCTTAAAATACAATATAAGCACAGCTGAATCAATTGGTAAAATGTGAAGGTTAGGATGTGGGCAGATTGATGCACTGACTGTAAATCTACAGAAGCAACCATTTTTCCATTAGTAGTGTACCATTCCTTACCTGTTGTAGCTCCATTTTCTGTGCATTAAGCTGCTCCTGTTGTCTTTCCAGCTCATCTCTCTGTTTCTGAAGGTCAAAAGCCTTCTGGTTGAGATCTTGTTCTTGCTGAGCAAGATGCTCCTCAAACTCCCTCATCTCGTCATCGGTATAAGCCTGGTTCTGCTCCAAGGTCTGAAGAACACAGAGCAGGTAGGAAGCCATTTTTTACAGTCCTGCTTCGTTTAACCAAATGTTTCTGAATTAAATAACTCCTAAAAGCTGTTATCATGATAAAGTGTCATCTAATGTTTCTCACCTCCCAGCTATCTGGCTCCAAGAATTCTTTCTTCTTAGTAGCAACAAGGAACTCATCCAGAGAGACCAGCCTGTCTTTATTTGAATCCACCTGTGACACAGACAAGAGCAGAAAGGCTTTGAACACTAGTTGTATATTTTCTTATTCACTGAAAGGACTAAAGCAGATAAAACACAGTGGCGCCTGTTTAACACAAGATGCAAACCCAGCTGAGACCGAGAATGAGCTTTAGGTGTCTTTTCTATTTTGTTTCTGTAGTCACTAAAGTCAGTCATGTGACTTTAGTCACAGGCTTTGAATTATGGAGACTAACTGTCCATACGCATAAAGTTTTTGTGCTTCCAACCTTTTAACAAACTGATGAGCTGCATTAAAGGTAGTAGAGGACTGCGATTGTGAATATTACTACATTAGAATTAATGATGCTAAATATTACCCTATGTATATTTCACACACAGAACAATTTTGGCCCAGCTAATCCAGGATCGGCTTTTTCACCTGCATAGTTTCAGGAAAACAGGTTGCTGAGTGCAGCTTGTTGTACCTCATTCATAACATGTTCTCTCATACGTAGCCTCTCTTCCTCCATCTCCACCATGTCGTCCTCCTCGTTGGTGGGGTCATAAATCTTTTCCAGCTGAAATCACAGAGGCCCACAGTCAGTACAAAGACCTACTCTGAAATATTTACACATTTGCAGAAGCCACAGCTTTACCTCTTTGGTGAACAATGCCTCCAACTCCTGTTCATCAAAGAAGCCATCTCCATTTGTATCTGTATTATTGAAAAAGAGAAAAGAAGGCGAATGTGACGTGTTCTAGTACTGTATGTTTTACAGAGCAAATTATGTATGTTAGTAAATGATAGTACAGGTCTTACCATGCAGGTTGAAGAATGTCTTAGGATCAAAATCTTCAGGATCTAAGCCATCAGCTTCCTCCCAGACCTCCTTCAGCTGATTCTGACTTCCCTGCATCATTGAAGTAAAAACACATTTGATTTCCAGATTGAGGTAAAATGAATATTACAATCTGGACAAAAAAAAAAAAAAAATCCCAACAAAATATATCATTTATTTTTCTCTGTGCACCTTTGTCACTTACCGGGTGGTTGACTTTAGGGTGGTCGGCGTGCTTCTTCTTCATCTCCTCATAGTGTTCCTCCTCTTTCTTCCTCTCGTCATCATCCAGTGTTTTCAGGTGTTCTCGTCTGTCGTGCTCTTTCATCATTTCGTACCTCTTGAACTCCTCGTGTCTCTCTTTGTCATAGTTCTCCAGATCTTTAGTGGCCTGATGACAAATAGAAAACAGAAATTGTTCAACAGTAATAACCACACAAGGCTATACCCAGCAAACAATAATGCATCAGCTGGAAATGTCACTTAGACACAGTTGAAGTCAAAAGAAGAGATACTATTCAGAACATCAGACTACTTCCAGACTGTCAGACCCTCACAGTAGTAGTAAACGGGATTTTTCAGGTCTATGCCTGCACGTTTCTATACATCAGCGCACTTCTGGAAACCATTGTGAAAAGCCTTTTTGTCTTAACATCATCTGAGACACAGATACAAGACTAAACGCATTGCTGTTTTTAAAAACAATAATGAAAAGAAGGTCAAATAAAAATAATACATCTGTCCTCTACACCTCAGTACTCAGTACTACCCTTTCCTTTCTAGTTGCTGGTAATTATAGTCATTCACCAACTGTGAAGCTTTCACCACCTACGGGCCAATTTTGGTGTACGAATTAAGCAGCTGCATAGGTTCCTGTTTTCTCTTTCTCTCTACTGCAGGACTCCACTGTGCAAAGGCACAAATAGTTTCAAGATGCTATACTTTTCATTAAGTACGAAGTAGCATCGAGCAACAACATTTACCGATCTGATCAGCCGATCCAGATCTTCCACTTCAAACGTGTGCGGGTTCATGTGGTTCAAGTATTCAAACTGTTTCAGCAGCGCTTGATGGTCCACTGCTATGTCTGTCCAGGGAGAAATTCAAATATATTACACATATTAAAACATATGAATACATAAAATAGAACTTTCTTTTATTTACCTCTAAAATAATCAACTTAAAGTTGATTTAGAGCCTGATACTTTAAACAGAATTCAAAATGAAATTATTTTTGTTTTGCACAACTTACCATTTCCTCCTTCAAGGTCCTGCTTGGCCTTAATCAGGGTCCGGAGTCGGTTTACCTCCTGCCTTTTTAACTCATCTAGTTTTGTTCTGACATGATGGCTGACAAAGTCTAGCTCTTTGGCCAGCTTACCTTGCTGCAACATAAATAAATTGTAGCAAATTAAGCGATTAAAACAATTCTGGAACGTACACTACACTTTTACAGCAAAGCATATTGTACTTTTGCTTACACTGGGTTAAACTTTGCAGGAAGCTGTGCATGTACACGAAACGAGTATATTATAGTGACTATTGTCTTATATAAGGAGCTGGTTGAAATGTTGTGCCATTGCAGTAAGACCAAACCAACAGAAAGCGGGGTACCTTAATGTCTTCCATGTCTGTATTGTGGAGCTTTTCCCTGAAATGCTGATCCTTCTCTAGAAAATCAATGACTTCTCTGAGGTAGCGGTCATAGTGGAGTCCAGTGTCCTAAAAGTACAGTAAATAAAATGTAAAAACGCCAATAACATGTTACATTGGGTAATCAAATCCTATTTTAAACATTTCTGATATATATCTATATTTATATATACAGTACAGCATCTCTATCTGTATATGGGTGACAAATTAAAGAAAAATCCAACCAAAAGTGTCTGAGCAAGTACAGAAAACACCACCACATGACAAATACAAACTGGGTTACCGCTTTCTGTAAAGATCATATACTTAATATCTAAGAAAGAGCATTCCCGTGCAATCAACACTGAAACTATATTGTACTTGTTTAACCTCTGTATGACAGTATTTACCCCTTCCAGAGGCACAAATGAGTACACAGATAACAGTATTTGGGCACTAAACAATCTATAGCATCTGAAACTATTGTACTGAGAAATTAATTGGTTTGTGAGATCACAAGTTTTAAAGTTTTGAATAAGAGAAAGAGGCCATTTTTCCAATAAACTTAGCAGGGGCGTACTTACTGCAGTGTACCACCTATGAAATAGCTAATAAATAAACAGTAATAAATCGTTTATTCTGTGAAATTATGTAATCCAATCCCACAAAGATTGAAGCCACTCATCTCTATACACATTGTTTTAAGTTAAAAAAAGGAAACAAATATTTTTATAATAAAAAAATCGTCTTATCCTAAAAATAATGACCAAAATTGTGAGTTTTATGCCTGCCTTAAATACTGTTAAAACGAATAGATAATGAAAGCCAAATAAACACAATTATCTCTCTGCACCACTGCTGAAAAAGGGTCGTTATTTGATACGACATGTATTATGGTTTGTGGTGAATTTTCAGCGTGCAGTGTAAATATTATGTCTTCTTCCTTACCACACTGGCTGGAGGCTCTTCAGGCTTTTTCTCTGGTTCTTTGACTTTCGTCTTGTCGATGCTGATGGGCACAGCCTCCAAACACAACAGCTGGACAAGCAGCAACAGCAGCCAGCCGGCGAGAAAGGCCCGGCTCCCCCACATCTACAAACGAGAACAATCACTATAGTGCCGGCTGAGGTGACGTGTTTTAGATTTTACAATATCTGGAAATATACATTCTTGAGTTTCTAAGTGCGTAAGCATCATCGTGTACCCAGCTTCCTCATTTTTGATCTTCCTCGAGCAGCCCATCTAGTCTCCACACACTGCAAATTATTGGCTAATAATAATAACCAGAGGAAGCTGTTGGTGTTAGCCTTTAGCACCGTCACTGACAGATTTAGCGCTTCGGTGCCAAGCATGGACAAATGAGACACTCATGTAACGTTACACCGTGAGCCTGAGCAGAAGAGCTTATACAGCATTTCCCCCACGCTCAGCGTGGATTTAAAGCTTTACTAAAGAGCCCCATAGACAGATATGTTGCCAGTATACTCACTTTATTATGAACACAGGACCTCATCTACTCTACCTTCCACCCGTCGCTTCCTCTCAGCTGGAGAGGTGTCAGCAGCTTCCACCAGCCCGCTGGACAGAGTAGCTCGTGTGGTGGTCAACCTGATTGGTCAGTTGGGCGGTCTGTCAAACACACTAGCATGTTGCGTTGCACTGAATCGTACGTGGCGATATGACAGCAGAGCAGGTGGGCGGGTCTTTTGGTTTGTGATCTACGGCACCGCACGGAACGAAAATGAGACGGAAAATTCACGCTGGGGGTGGATGAAACTAATGACTAATTTATTTATTTAAAACACACAGTTGGATTTTTTTTTTCTTCAAAGTATAACGATTTTAATTTAAATTTTCTAATTATTTGCCCCTTTTCAGTTTTTCATTTTTGTTTTCAACTTAGTTCATTTAAATTTAGTTGCTCCGGGCTTTTTTTTGTTAATCAGTTCTAAATATAGTTTTTGTTTATTTAATACAATACACGAACATTTTTCATTCATTTGTCAGAATATGTTGCAGATTATAAAAACACCGTTTGTGAAGGCGCTTGACATCCCAGTCTTAAAGATACAGAACTGTGCAAACACTTCAGCGACCCCTCATTTTTTAAATATTTTGCTAGGAAGATGGGAAATATGCGCAGTGATTTATTGAAGCACACATTTAAACATACATTAAGATGCAGTATAAAAGGCAAAAACAAAGTTCTAACAAAATGGAAAGTGAATATTTATTATGACCACCTTTATTCTACAACAATGAACTTTCTTAGGCAAGCTTTCTTGCAGTTTCTCGAAGTAGTATATAGGACTCTCAAAGCTCTTCTTTTGATGTTGGCTGCCTTTTGTTTGGTACGATCCTGTGGTATCGCAAGAAATTAGTAGGTTATATAAATATATGAGTATGCATAATAGTTATTATTCATAGATACCTACATCCTAAGTTCCTGTTATTCTTCTGAAAGAAACAGAATGAGTGTGTCGTTACAATGGTAATGCCAGGAGAGGCAGTATTAGTTCTGTGTTACATTAATGTGTAAGGAAGTGGAAGAAGAGTGTGTCCTGTAGGAGGCAGTAGAAAATGGATACTCATGTTCTGTACATGCCCTGAAAGAAAGGTTCAGTAAACCAGTGCAACGATACTTCATTGTAAGTCTCAGTTATTGTATTTTTTATTTTTTGAAGATGCAACAGATCCCATTCATAATTCCATCAGTTTTGATATTAATTCCACTGTTTGAAATGCAGCCCCCAAACATGAGAGAGCCTACACTGCATTTCATAGATAAACCATCTGAAAAATGGTAAAGGACCATCCAGTGTTCAAAGAAAAACTTCAAAGACCTTCAGAAAGTCTTTTATTAGTACAAATACCTTAAAATAAAAAGTGCAAATAGAGTAGGGGAGACCGGGGATAGTTGTAACGTGGGTCAGTTGTAACACTTCCAATTTCTCCAATCAGGGCTAAGTGTCAAATGATGTGACTCATCCTGTGCATGCCCAATTCAGTTCTGCTATCACATGTGAAAAATCAGCACATTTTGTCAAACACAGACAATTTAACATGAAAAAAAGTAATTTGTATGCCAAAAAGTAAGTTTTTCTACTTTATTTCAATTTCTAATAGCATTATCTGCTTTGCAGTTAAACTCATCAAACTTAAATTGTGTTATTTGTATGTCTATGGGGATATATTCTGTGTAGGTCTTTAGTGCTAATGTTTTAGCCGTTGGCTGTAATGTTAGCTAGTTCATGGCTATAGGAGTCTGGGTCAGTTGTAACAGCAACAGTCTGGGTTAGTTGTAACAATAATGCAGATGTTACAACTTACCACACTATTACTTTAACTTATATTAAACAAGTTGGGGCAACGACATCAGCAGAGAGAGGTTCACTGGTCGCTTTTGTATATGCGGTTAATGCCATTGGCAACACAATTCCTCCACTGTTTGTGTTCCCACACATACATTATGCAGACCACTGTGTCAGAGATGGACCAGTAGGAAGTACTGGTAGTGGAAATAAATCAGGATGGGTGCAAGAAACAGATTTCCTCATCTTTCTGAAGCACTTTGCAAACCACACCAAGGTAAGCCATGATAAAAAGTAATGGAATTGCGATGCTGGTGAACAACTACATTTTTTCAGCTTCATTGTTATGTTCAAAATTGGTGCAAGAGTTGTAGGTTATAATGCCCACTGAGCCAATGAGGCCAAACTCAAGGAAGACCAACCAAAATTAATGAAATATTCAGTTGCAGAAAATTCCATAATTTGTCTTTTTTGGGGGGTTGGAATATGTTCAAAAGCTAGATTTCTGCATTCTGTCACACACACACACAGCTACATAAATGGCTCTAAGTGCATTCATGTGTTGAATAAACAAAGATTACATGTTAATGTTTTGTTAGTACCCTTATTTCATTGTGTTACATTTCACCCCAGGATATGTTACAACTAACCCAGACTATGGGGTTAATTGTAACATTTCACTCTTTGTGTTTGAGACCATACCATGCAATGGGTAATTGTGCTGCAGAGAAAATAGCTGCACTATTTAATAGCAGAGACATGTAAATACTTTGCATTACATTTTGAATCCACTACCTTAAAAGAGCTCCAATTTACAGACAGAAATGTGAAAAATGTTACAACTATCCCCGGTCTCCCCTACTTGAATAAATGTATAGCTAACCAATTCCAATGTTGGGACTTCACCAGCAGCTTTAAGCATTTAATACTTTCTTCAGTCAGTGTTTGCTTTACTTCCTGTGGAAAAAAAAAATCCCCCTAAGTGCAGTTCTGCCTCAGCTTTTTCTGAGCTCAGGAAGCAGCAGTCTGTGATTAATGGGACCAAGTTCACCTCTTAACCCCGGTCCTGTTCACTGGCCTCATGGGAAGATCTTACATGAAACTTTTTTGTGTGTGTGTATGTGTGCTTATAGAAGCTCAAACTGTACTCATCATCTTATGAATAAATGACTGCTACTCATTTTCTTTTGTGTGTCTTGCCTTTGTTCAGTGTGTCTGTAAAGATTTGATCATTTTTTTTGTAACTGTAACTGTTCATTATAGAGCCACAACACTTTACAGGTGTGTAGCTGGGATATAAATGAAGGTCATGTTTTAAATATTGGGGCGAAAAGAAAAGGGTGCACAGTCGTTTAATCTATGTGTAACTGGTTTTATAATAATATTTTCCATAGTGGATGTGAAATTCACAGCTACTGCAGTCCCACCGCAAAATCTGTAGCAAATCTCAAACTTAGTCCTGATTGGTGTAGATTCAGCCATCTGTATCGAAAGACCATAACGCCAGAAGAGGGCGCTGTTGCTATGTGCTGGCTGCGTCGATTATTACCATCATTTTGACTTTTGTAAAAGTACTGAGTGTTTTGCTTAACTGGTCAAATATACTTAAAGGCAAATGACACTAACATCAGCCATGAAATTGTGCACCTTGTTAGCATCGATCCCTGCTGCTGTGGTTTAATTACCTACGAATCAGCATATATGAAAACCTAATTACAAAGGAATTATTTAAACTCTGTTCTGCTTTTTCATGCTACATCTTCAACAGCTGATTGGACCAGGGCTGAAAGAAGACTTAGATCCGCTGCCTGCAAGTTGTATAACCATTAGCTTTCTACTGGAATTATGGACGACAGAATAAAAATGCAATGAAGACTTTGGAGCTTTGGCAGGTCCAGCAAGACAATGAATCAAATTTCTATCTGGATAAGTGAGGTTATGACTAAATATAACATTCCTGCTCTTTAGATGACAGTGTAATAGTTCACTGAGTTGGAAGGCAATTATTCAATGTCATAGATCATAACTGGAATTGATAGTGAAAGAACACTAGAGTGGATGGGAAGATCAGCATTTCTTTTTAATCAGCCACTATATCATAAAATGTGCTGCATAATGAAAAGAAGGCTACTGTCTAAATATTACCCTACAGAGAGTGTTAATAATGTAGGAACCTGTACACACTCATTTATATACCTTACTCTGCTGACATGAAGGTGTCTTTTAAAAAAAGCATTTCTGAAAAGATGCTATTGATTTCCTATAAGGGCTTCTGCCAACTAGATTAAGATCCAAATGATTCCTTACTGAAGAGCTGGAAGTTAGAACAAGAGAATCTTTATTTCATTTTCAGCTCAGCACCTTTAGCGAGCATAAGTAAGTGATTCAGCGGGAGGAGGCTCTCTGAGGAGAAGACAATAACATTGAGTCACCTTGCTGCATTGTGAGCCTCTGGCAGGCAAGAGGCAGGATTCAGCAGCAGTAGCAGCAGAGAACATACTGCAGAGCTGCGCTGGCCTGCGCAGCAACTAAGTGTGTATTTGTTTGTGTAAATTAGCATGTATAGATGGATGTCTACATAGTGGGGATGATAATAAATCATAGCAAGGTCAAATAACAGCAATTGAGTTTGGCTACGAGATGATTACGCTGCAGTGCATATGGTGTTTCAGCACTCTGTACCTGATTGTGCAGACTGGTTGAGGAATACACAACAAGTTGAATCAAATGACGCCAAGTGTAAATGTAATGTTTGGTGGTATTGATGATTAATTTAGACACTGTTCTATTTAATTCTGTTGCTTGTGTCTGCCTGACCTTTGTACAGTACAGAGGAAAAGCTCCAAAATGCATCACATTTTTAGCTGCAGTGAGCTGTAACAGGGTGGTGATGTTATAATATCGTAACAGCTATAATAGTACATTTCAACATTCACACATTTTGTTTGTTTCTTTAAGAAAAAATCAAGCTGGGCATGAAAAATCTCTGATAAATCTGCCTATGTACGGCACTACAGTACTGTGCAAAAGTCCCTACATTTCTTTATATTTTGAGGGAGCTAGTCTTTCTTGTACCTTTTTTTAAAGTGGTCTTGAGCAATCATTTCAATTTTTTTCTTTGGACTTTATTGGCTTTTAAACTCATTTTCAGTCCTTGTACCTGACCATTTTCAGAGGAATGTTTATTTTATTTGTTAAGCACATTAAAACCGACCTATGAATGACCTATAGCCAACTTTAAATTGTATCTTTAGGCACTTTGTTACTAGCAGTAGAAGGATGGCTGTCAATACGCCATTCTTAAGGAA